ATCTTCATTCGTTTTGTTATTTGATTAAAAGTTGCCTTTCCCACTTGACTGGAAGCTCTGTGAGAATATGTACAGGATTTATTTTTGCGTACAAGTGTATTCACCACCTAATAGTGTCTTGAACACGAAGTATTCAGTAATTACTTTTGAAGTGACTGTATTAATCAGATAAAAATAATTGTTCTCCAATCATATTCCTTGAGTTTTAGGCCCCCAGACTTCTGTCATGAGGTGTGTTTCATATGCAAAGTTATACCCACATTTTATCCTCTCCACATTTTATCCAATCTCAGAGACCCATCTGAATGGACACTTTCTTGACTTTTCATACAACTATCATCTCTGCCTCCTTTGAAAATCATGGCACTTAAGTGTCTGCTCTCTTGCCACACTTGGTGTTGCTATCATTAAGCTGTGCCTCTTATCCCCTTTAGAAGTTCATAAGCTCCAGTAGGACAAGGCTGATTCATTTCTCTTTATATCACCTGCAGTAACTAGTGCATTTCTCAGATGCTAAATAAACGTGTCTTCTTTATGGATTAATATAAGTAAAACACATATTATGTGTTCAATTAATGTTTATAGAAACAAGGGAAAATTGTTTTAGGTACTTGTCAGTTCCACTAATCTGTAGTGAATAAAAGATTGGTGGAACTGACTAAACAGCACTATAAATAGGGCTCACAGAGGAAATGCCTTCTGTTCTGATCACTTATTATTTAATAGATTTATTTGTTATAGGTGGCAAAGCAGTTCTAGAACTGTTAGACTCAACTTGCCTTTTTACTTCCCTGTTTCTTGCTCAGTAAATTACAGTGAAGACTAATTGACATTTCACTGAAATAATTTTTCTTACTACAGAATTAAAATAAACCTTTTCATAGAATGCAGCATTAAATAGGGTGCCAAATGGCTAACTTGAGAAAAATGGCAGGATGGATATAGTGTCAGGTGTAGAACATAGCTTTGAACTAAATACCTGAGGATCAGGGGACCAGCTATTAAGAATAAATTGTCACTGTTCACAGGCAAAACACACTTGAAAAAACTTAAAAAAAAAAAAAAAACAACTCACTGAACTTAAACAATTTGTTGTAATTTTTTCAATGCTCAACAGAAAAAAAACCCAAACAAACGCCAACTATGGTTCCAAACAGGAAAGTCACTCCTCATTTCCCCCTTAGGTCCTTTAATACGTCTTGACTCTGGGCCAATGGGTCCAGTTTTGGTGTGAAGACAACATTCCTCCCTCCCTTTCCGCACGCTACCTCTATGAACATTCTGGGGGCTTCTAAATTTAGATAAAGGACCATTGGGAGTTCCTGTGCTCCAAAATACTGGAAATCAATGTATACAATTAACTTCTTTAAACATTTATTGAGTATCTAGTATGTGCTGGGGTTTCCTCTAGGTACTAGAGATTCAAAGGTGAACAAGAAATTATCCTTGCTATGAAAGAGCACACAGTTTGGTGGAGTAGATGGGAATATGCAAATATCCTTCTTAGGTAAAAGACTGCAAATAGAGCTAAAAAGCAAAACACCTCGGAAGACAAAAGAGAGAAAGACTTGTTCTGATTGTGGGGTTTGTTGATGGGAGGTGGGAGCTACACTGGGTGTAGAGACATTGTGGTTCTTCCTCCTGCATCCATCTGTCTCACCTCTCCCTTAATGGGTGACAGATATGCGACTGGATGGCACTGATCCCACCCTGACTCTATCAGTGGGTACTGTTCACTCAAAATGCCAGGAGTACTTCTGTTGAGAAACATTCAGCTAAACCAGTGAGAGAAATCTCATCCTCTATTGATTCAGCTACTCCAGGTCTAAGCCAATTAACTCACAGCATTCCCCTTGGCCATTAGTGTGGCCTAATCAGAATACAGTGTCCGACTTTTATTCAATGGTTGTGGGCAAGCATCTTTTCTGTCTCTCATTGGATATGAAGGAAGAAGGACATGTAACCCCAATTTGTGCTCAAACCCATCTCATGACCATGAGAGGAGCCTGCTTTAATATAAATCTAGCAGAAGGGATAGTAGAGGGGAAACATGGGAAAAACGAAAAACAAAAATGAGCCCCCGATGACATTATTTGGCCAACTATCCTGAAGATCATCCTTTTTCTAGATGTTCCAGTTATGAGAATCAATAAATTCCCTTTATTATTATATTATTATTATTGTTATTACTATTATTTAAGAGATGGGATCTTACTATATTGCCCAGAACAGCCTTGAATTCCTGGCCTCAAGCAATCCTCTGGCCTCAACCTCCCCAGTAACTGGGCAGCTGGGACTACAGAGGTGCACAACTGTATGCTCAGCTTAAATTTCTTTATTTCAAAAGACAGTTTCCACCGGCCTTTCCCTTATTTATAATTTGAAAGCATCCTAAGGTACAGAGGACCTTGAAATAAATAGGACTTCAATGGGTAGGGGATGGAGGCGGAAAGGATATTCCAAGTAATAGAAACACCTTGAGCAGGGCATTAATTTAAAAAATGTAGCAAATTGTGTGTGTGTTTAAGAGAGAGAAACCTAGGTGTTTATGGGACATCTATAGTGGGAAATATTCTTATACCATTTCTAAGACGAGAAAGGGAAAGGGGAGATGGAAAGAAAGAAGCAATGTTTTTTTCTAGTGACAACTTCAGATTGCACTGAATAATGAATGCTGATATACATAAACTGCCAATAATTTTTATTTCCATAATTTTTTCCAGTGTATTAGTATTTATCATAAAAACATATAATAAGATTTCAAAATTAAATGAGTGGTAAATTCACCATTTTTATGAAACTCATTTCATTTGTACACAGCATACCAAATTACTGGTGCTGTGTACAATAACAATTACGTAGTTATGACATATCTAAAAGGTTTTTCCATTTTAAAGCTTTATTGTATGGAGAGGTGAATATGAAGGACATTATAACTATCGCTGTTAAGGAAGACATACAGGCTGGGCGCATGGCTCATGCCTGTAGTCCCACCACTTTGGTAGGCTGAGGTGGGTGGATCTCTTGAGCTCAGGAGTTCGAGACAAGCCTGGGCAACATGGGGAAATCTCACCTCTAGAAAAACTACAAAAATTAGCCAGGAGTGTTGGTATGTGCCTGTAGTCCCAGCAACTTGTTGCTGAGGCCAGAGGATCGCTTGAGCCCAGAAAGTTGAGGCAGCAGTGAGGCATGTTTCTGCCACTGCACTCCAGCCTGGGTATAAAAGTGAGACAAAGGAAAAAAAAAGTTGTGCACTGAATTATTCTCCCTCTGGAATGTGCAGCCGTTGTGTGTGTGTGTGTGTGTGTGTTTTCTTAGAATTCATGAGGTCTTACACAAAATAAAGAAACTGTAATTGGGGAAGTCCTAGGTGATGGCTTAATCATATTTATAATTGGTGTGTTTATGTCTAAATGCTAATTTATGCATGATGCCATACCAGGTAGATTTATAAATTAATTTTAAAAAGTCATAGTCCTTGCTTTCAAGATCCTTAAAAATGTCCTAACAGCATTGACAATGTATAGAGAATAGAGAGTATGAGTATCCCCAAATATATTTTTTAACAAAAAGAAATGTAATATATTGTGCATGGGGGCATTTTGAGTCTCCTTTTCATCTTGGAAAAGATGAAAAAGAAACAAGAAGGCCAACTTTAGGGAGAGCAGGGCTCTAAAAGTTGGAGAAGAGAAAGTTTTAAAAGGGAGAGAAAGGATTTCATACAAGAAAATGTTTTTAAAAGGCAAGTGCCAAGAATGCACTCCTTCTGGAGTCTCATGGGGCATCTTGCTACTGCCTTGTATCTCTTCCAACATCAGTCTAAAAGTCACAGGATGCTAAGGATTAAAGTGGCCAGACAGGCTCAGGTCTCCCTTACCAGTTATCTATTTTCTTAAAAATGCACCTTACTAGGAATCTGATCGCACAAAAGCTCTCGGAACACAACGTGCATATGGAAGTGGTCCTGGAAAAATGCTACCATTAATTACTTTCATTTCAAGCTATCTTTGAAGTTCATATGAAAATCGGATGGTAGGAAAACTAAGTCAGGTTTAGATAGTTTCCCACCCACTGTATTTCATCTAAATTTTTTCAAGTGCTTTGCTGTTTATTTGTTTCTCCATTTTTGTTATTGCTGTTCATAAGCAAATAGACAAGATGGCAAAAAGTGTCAAAGCTAAACTAAATCTAGTATGAGAACAATGTTTTGTTTTGTGTTTTATCCTAGAGCTTTGCAATGGTATGGAATTAATAATATTGTCATATAAAAATAAGTGAAGATGAAACAAAAATAGTTAAGTTTATCATGTACAGTGCAATGAGGAATATATATGTCTGTCAAAAATTGTGAAAACCAAAGGTAAACTTGCAATTGTGTGTGTGTGTGTGTGTGTTCATGTGTGTGAGAAAGAGAAGGAGAGGGAAGAAGGGAGAGAGGAACACAGTAGCTATCTTCAGGCATAACACATTTTAAGAATTGAATTCTTGTCCCTTTAGGAAAAATCCTGTCCCTTCAGGTTGCAAATTTTACACATTAAAAAAGCTAAAAGAAAAGATTATTAAGCAGTTCGATTATTTAATCAAAGTCTACTAACATTCTAAAAAGTTATAAGTTGTGATTAAAATTGATTTGTTTTTATATTTATTAATAATTCTCCTAACATAAGATTAGTTGACAGCATTCAAAGACAATTTTTTTTACATTGTCAATAGTAATTGTAATACATTCGAAACAAAGGGATAAAAGATGTCCAATTACACTTAAATTAAAAAAATTATAAGACATATAAATAAAGTTCAAGTTAATTTTTATACAACCAGTTTCCCTCTTGTTGCAAAACTTACAGACTTATAGTATACAGAATCTGTATAGTACAGTCTGTATACTATAGTATAGTATACAGATAGTAACTTATAGTATGCAGATTCTCAAGGACTAAACTGAAAGTAAACTACATGTGGATAGAGGAAGTTGAGAAGGAAAGAAGAACCATTGGTACCTGGATACTGGTCAGCGTTGTGTATTGGTAAGCCTTGACCACCAGGTAATTTGCTTCCAGGTCTATGAGTCCCAAAATCATGTACTTCCACCATCTTCGTCGTAAAATTGCCAAGAGGTTTTCTTCTCCTGTGTTACAAAGTTAAGAAGAAATGGGTTAGGTTCCTGAAACAGACTAAATTGTATATTTAGAAGAATTCTAATATGTTGCAACATTATATATTTTTAACCTTATGTTTACCAAATATTTAAACAAATAAATCAAGGTATCAGATACCCACATGTTTTTACTTAGCAAATTATCTTTATTGTAGATTTGGCTTTTCAAGTTAGTTTCTATGCCAGAGTAAGACTGGGCAGGTTATTAGCTTACCATGCAAAACATCTTTTGTGTGTGAATAAAGGAACGATAAAATATTTACATCATATGAAAATAAAAAGAAAGGTGTACCAGAAAGGCTGCATAAACACACACATTCCAAATCATCCTAAATTTCAGGATTGTGATGAAATAGATAAAAATGAAAAGAACCAAATAGAAAAAGGCTTGTGCTTGGCAGCAGTTCTGTAGTAAGACTCTGAGATGCTATCCTGAGTTCCTGATCAGCTTTGAATGTTGCATGCACTCTGGTGGTTTGTGGATGATGGGAAGAGAGAGGAAGTTGGGTCATCACTCTCAGATGAAAAGGAATGCCATTTGAAAACACTTTTAATACTGCCAACAACTATAATCTTCACCATCTTGCATTTTAAACTGGTAGCATCAGAACAGCTGAATCTCTTAGTTCTTCATTCTTATTTTGACATATATTTCAGGCCTGAGATAAACCTTGTTTTTCAAGGCAGGGCAATCAGGATCAGGAACAATAATAACTCTCTGTAGCCAACCTGTGGGGTCTTCATAGAGGTTGTAGATATACAGAAACTCAGTGAATGGTGACTATAACCATATTTATGACTGTGTAACAAGGTATCCAGAGACAGAGATGTTTAAAACAAGAAATACTGATTATCTCAGTTTTTGTGGGTTAAGAACCAGGTTAGAGCTTAAATGAGTGTCTCCAGCTCAAGGTCTCCCAGTAAGTTGCAGCTGGTTGTCAACCAGGAATGCAGTGTGATCTGAAGGAATGACTGGGAAGAGACCTGCTTCCAAGCTCACTCACATGGCTGTTGATGGGTGTTGGCCCCTTACCCCAAGGACCTTTGCATAGTACTGCCTCAAAACATGGTATTTGGTTTATCCCAGGATGAACAATGAGAGAGAGAGAGAGAGAGAGAGAGAGAGAGAGAGAGAGAGAAAACCAAAGACGGAAGATCAGTTTTTTATAACCTGTTCTCAAAAGTGACACTTCTACTCTACTCTATTCTTTAGTAAAGGGTCAATAAGTCCAGCTCACATTCAAGGGGAGAGAATTCCATAAGGAAGTGAATACCAGGAGGCAGAGATCCTTGCAGGCCATCTTAGGGGCTGCCTAAACAGTGACACACATCTTTAGTACTAGAGATGTACTTCAGCTGGTCCTCAAAGCCTCAGCAGAACACTGGATCCTCAGCTGTATTTGGACCACTCTCAGAACCTTGAGCTACTGATTTCTGCTCTTAGCTGTATTCCAGTGACCATGATATGACGTGGTCTTTCCAACCCTATGGAGACATGTGAGCACAAAGCTTTCAGTTACATACAGACTGCCAAAGCATGAGTTGTGGCCAGTTGGCAATAGGAAAGAAGGGTCTCTTGACCTTTGGTGGTCAAATCAGTTTTCCAGCCTACTTTTTCAAGCGACACTTCTCATAGCCTTCAAGCCTTCAAGCATGCACAAAGTCTTTCTGTCTCAGGGAGCTGCACTCCCCATCTTGCAAACTCCTATTCATTTTTCAAAATGTAGCCCTTCTCTGGTCTTTTGGCTAACCCCTTTCCTCAACTGGGCAATGCACATCCATCTCTGATTAATCCTTTCATAGGATTGTGATTACTGACTCTTCACTAGACTGGGCGCTTTTATCCAAAGGTAGAGTTAATGTCTTACTCATATACTTATCCATAGCATCTAGCATACTGACATATAGCAAGGGTTAGCTAAGTGTTTTGCAGCGAATGAATTAATGAATAGAAAAAAAAAAATCCTGTGAAATATTGTCTGAATATGTCAAGAGCCAGTGCGAGAATATGAGTCACTCTTTTCACGGTTTTGCACATGAGAAGGCTGGTAGATGTGATCCCCAAGGTCAGTTCTTCACTGCCAGATCATTTTGGCAGTCTTTGAACAGCTCTTCTGCCTCTCTGACTTGCCTTACATCTTTGACAATCAACACATCTGTCAGGATTTGTCTTGTCAGTCGGTGATTCTCAACCTGACTCTACATTCACATCATCTGGAGAGCTTTTAGAAAGTCCTGGCCGAGTGCGGTGGCTCATGCCTGTAATCCCAGCACTTTGAGAGGCCGAGACAGGCAGATCATGAGGTCAAGAGATCAAGATCAACCTGGACAACATGGTGAAACCCTGTCTCTATTAAAAATACAAAATTTAGCTGGGCGTGGTGGTGCACGCCTGTAGTCCCAGCTACTCAGGAGGTTGAGGCAGGAGAATCACTGGAACCCAGGAGGCGGAGGCTGCAGTGATCCGAGATCACGCCACTGCACTCCAGTCTGGCAACAGAGTGAAACTCTGTCTCAAAAACAAAACAAAACTCAAAAAAGTCCTAATGCCAGGGACCAGCCCCTAGAGATTCTGATTTAATTGGTCTTGGGTGGGGGTCTGTGCATTGTGCTGAGGATCAAAACTAGGACTTTCAGATGATTAATGTTCAAGGGCCATTCTCAGGGTGACTTGAGCTAAGAATCCCAAAGAAATACAACCACAGAGTGCTGAAGACTCTTCATACCAAAGAAATGACCTGAACATTTGGCCCAAAGTACGCTTTCTCTTGTCTCTGGGCCTTTCCATGTGCTGTTTCCTCTGCTTGGAGGACTATTCTTCCTTCAGTCTCCAAATGACGTCTCAGCATACACACTTCTATCAGGAAGCCTTCCTTGATACTCAAAAGTGACACTTCTACTCTACTCTATTCTTTAGTAAAGGGTCAATAAGTCCAGCCCACATTCAAGGGGAGAGAATCACCCTAGACTGGGCTAGGTTTTCCTGCTGTGTGCTCCCTTAACATCCTCCCTTTTTTTTCTTTTTTTGAGATGCAATTTTACTCTTGTCACCCACGCTGGAGTGCAATGGCGCGATCTCGGCTCACTGCAACCTCCACCTCCCAGGTTCAAGCAATTCTCCTGCCTCACAGTCTCCCGAGTAGCTGGGATTACAGGCATGCACTACCACACCCAGTTAATTTTGTATTTTTAGTAGAGATGGGGTTTCTCCATGTTGGTCAGGCTGGTCTCAATCTCCTGACCTTGTGATCCACCTGCCTCGACCTCCCAAATTGCTGGGATTACAGGTGTAAGCCACCATGCCCGGCCAACACCCTTTATTTATACCTAGTGCTTATCCTCCTGTCTTATAATTACCTACTTTCTTGACTCTGTTACACACTAGATTATTAACAATTTGGAGACAGCAGAATTGTCTTGGTCATCACTTTATTCCCAGATCCAACAGTGCATGACAGGCAGTCAATAAATAATACAACTGCATACATAAATTTCATGTTTAATAATCTCAGCAATGTTAAATGCCATTGCAATTGAGGCACTGAAAACATATCTATTAGAAATATTCATGTTTCAGCCTATGAGAATTGTTTTCTAGTTAGAATGTAGACAACATCTGACAAAATTAATTTGGTGAACATTTTACACACAATACACTGTACCTTGGATATAAAAAGGTCAATGGCATATTTAACCTCCACACTGCAATTCTAAAAATAATAAATAAAGGGTCACAGACCCTTGTCCCAGTTAATTCACACAGTGAACACAGAATTGCCAGACTCAGAGCACACCAGCCACATCTCAATACATAGCACTGAAAAAATGGGCTATGGTGCTGTTTGTTCCATCAATCAATAACATACTCAAAGTGTTATTCATTACATAGATTCAAAGGAATGATTAGTTGCCTTGCCATTCTGCTGAGGTTTGCAATGCAAAACACCCTAAATAAATGCTTCCATATTGTTTCATTTGAAGTACCTGAAAATAGACAACATGCTTGCTTAGCAGAATTATTCAGGAGGGCAAGAGGAAGGCTTTTTTAGTTTTGGTTTAGCAAAAAATGCAACCGCTGAAAAGCCTGCTTGGGGATTTATCTACATGACTCCCATTAACACTGTTCTACAATAGACCATTAAAACTATTTCTAGAATAATGAAAATACATTCCTTAGAGTCCCTGTGCCAGCACTACCCAAACCTCATGAAACAGGGCCATCTATAAGAAACACCAGTACAGCTGGTAATATGCTAATGTTTTGAAATCCACCCCATCTTTTTTTTTAAATTAACTGGGAGAAGTAATAAAATCCATGGGTGGAAACTTTAGAATTATGGTTTGGCAATTAAATGCATTCTGTTTACTATTTTTATTATCAATATGTCCAAATATAAATAAAAAGATTAGAGAATAACGTACCCTCCTCCCTGATTTAATAAATGTTAACAGCTTGCTGTGTTTTTCTCAGATCTTTATTTTTTGAGAAAGAAAATTTTACAGATGAAATCAAAGACCCCTCTCTGTCCCTGCCAGATTTTATTTCCATTCCTCCGTCCTCAAATCATTGTCCTGATATTGCTTTTTTGTTGTTGTTTTTGTTTGTGGGGGGTGTTGTTTGTTTGTTTGCTTGTTTCAGACAGGGTCTCGCTCTGCCTCCCAGACTGGAGTGCAGTGGCATGACCGTGGCTCACTGCAGCCTTGACCTCCTGGGCTCAAGCGATCTTCCTGCTTCAGCCTCCTGAGTAGCAAGCCCAGCTAATTTTTGTATTTCTTTTTAGAGATGGGGTTTTGCCATGTTGCCCAGGCTGGTCTTGAACTCCTGGGATCAAAGAATCCACCCGCCTTGGCCTCCCAAAATGTTGGGATTTACAGGCATGAGCCACCGTGCCAGCCTTATCATCTTGATTTTGTTATGTAACTTTTAGGCTGCTGTTTTTGTTCACATTTCTAGGTGTGCATGTATTCAA